GTATTGATGGTTTTGCACAGATAAACTTATCGCTCGTACATTGAAAAAGGAATTTATATACATACAAGTATATAGATCTATATAAACTGATATGCTTACATGTGAACAATGTCATGCGAAACTAAGTTTCGGTAAAATCGTAGTAGAAACATATCCGAAAATTACACTATTTAACGATAAGAAAATATCGACCGTGCTGAATTCTTTGCAATGTTATTTTATTTATACTTTATTTAATTTTAATGTCAAATGATATTGATAATCTTGTTAATTGATACAATTCTTTTCGTATGTTACCGGTATCTCGTATATTCAAGATACACTTTTTATTAGAGATACTAAGGCCAATATCTAGATAAACGCATATATAAAAAATAATTGTTTCAATACATAATAAAGTCATTAAAATTTGTTGGCGAACTAAAATTATAATCGAATTTATAAACAATGTACAAGATGCAGTTTAACATTGCACACTATCCAATTGCTGGTGAATCTATAAACTTTGTTATAATTACACCTACAAAATTACAAAGGTAGAAAACTAAAGATAAATAAAAATTATACAGGCAATTTCTACGTACTGTTACTACACATACATATTTTATTAGATATTTTGAAGAATATATCTTGTATTAATTAATACTATTAACAAAAAATTAAAACTGTACCATAATTATAGTTATAGTGAAGAATGGATCGATTTTAAAGTCTCTGACCATTAATTCTAACAGGACAATTCTGTATTTTTGTTTTGATAAGTGAGAATAATTGACAAGATCAAATGTGATAAAAATATTATAAAAATTTGGTGGAGTATTTAGTTACACGTTTGTATGAGAATGTTAAATTGGTCTCAGTTTAATAACAGGAGAAGAACAATATCAAATAAATTTGTATAATACATCAATTATTTCAATATTTTCCATGTAATTAGAAAAGATACAAATTTGCATCACTCTGTTCGAAACGTCTTGGACGTTAACACTAAAACATAGTGACATATAAATGAGTTTACGAATGATATTCACTTGTAAAATCTTTCTTATTAGCCTTGTCGATTCTTTCTTCGATTCGAGTATAACTCATTTGACGTGTTTTAAACACTTATAATATGTACATAAACTCAAACTTTTACCTTACATTTTAATTATTACAATAATGAAAGTAAATCAATTTCTAGTGCATGTATGTACAGTGTTATATAAAATTACTAATGCCCTGATAAGAACCAAGGCAAAATTTTCTTAAAATTTATATCAAATACGATCACAAGGTGTGTTAATGACAATTTGAATAATGCTTCAACCGAACACTTGCTTGGACAAAGTTGTTCAATTCGAATCATCTTCATCATCTGATTTTACAGCGTATGAAACAGGCTTACGGACACGACCTCCTGTGGCTCTCGGTGGTGGAAGTGGAGACGTTTCACTGTCATCATTATCTTGCTGTGCCTCAGTTTTCTTCTTCCTTTTTTTTACCTGAATCATTAAATGAAGATCAAATATATAGATTAAAACCTAAGTATAAATATTATTCATATTATTTATCAAATCAGGTATTACTAATGACCTCTAATTTACTAAATTAATTTGCCAAATATTTTTAATTATTGCATCCGTCATTATACTCACATTTTGTTTGTTGGAAAATGTAAATTCTTCTGAGTCTGAATCCGACTCAACTACTTTTTTCTTTAATTGTCTTTTCACGCCCTTTCCTCCACCATTTTCTGTCTTCTTTTTGACAGGCGCTAATACATAAATAATGAAATTAGATGGATGACATAAATAAATAATATAACACATACAGTCTATGCGACATATCTGGATTTTCTGAATTTCCTTGCACTTTCTACCTTACACTTTTTGTCTGAACAATTTCCAAGTGCCATTCATATTTTGCATGATATTTACACACTTTCAGATAAATCATACGCTCTGTTGTGTATATATGTAACACTAATATATGATTACTGAAATATTACAAATAACCTTACCCTTTCCTGGCGGTGAAAACATCGAAAATGAATCTTCGCTAGAAGATATAACAGCTTTTTGTTGTTTATTGAAAACTGTAGCTTCTTCAGATTCTGAATCAGAGGAACCCGTCTTTGTTTTCAACTGTCTTTTCACTCCTTTTCCTCCGCCATTTTCAGTCTTTTTTTTAGAGGATGCTAAACCGTAAATAATATAATAAACATGAATGAACATAGAAAAAGAAATTGGTATATTATTAATAATCTTACCTTTTGGTGGAGATGAGAATATTGAATCTTCACTAGATGACACTGTACTTTTTTGTTGTTTTTCTCGAGAAGAGTTACCAATTAAAGAATCAAATAATTCTTCTGAGCTTGCTGTTATACAAAAAAATAATTTAAAGATAAATATATATAAATGTAGTTTTTATAACTAATACACTTAAAATTCTTTTATTTACTCACGTTGTGGTGGCAAAGATTTCCTGTCTATTTTAAAGCTGTCATCCGAATCACTATTTACAATCACAGGTGGCTTTGTTTTTCTGAGAAAGTAACAGAAAATAATGAAAATCTTTTACTTTTGTGCAGGCATGTAATTATGTATGGTACTCACTGTTCAGAATCTGACGACAGATTAGTGAGCTCAAGATCGGACGAAGACTCTTCGCTTAAATTATAATTTTTCTTAACTAAAACATTTCAAAAATCAAACAAAATCATTAATTTTATACGTAAAACATTGTTTCGATATAAAGACGCAAAAATACGCACTGTATTTTATGTATAAAAAAGTATAAAAACTGATACCTGCATTCCTACGAGACGTTTTTCGAGGCTCCGGAGGAGGGGAGATACTACCGAAATCAATGTCATCATTACTACCACTATCTTTATCTTTCTTTTTATCAGATTTTTCTTTCTTCACTTTTGGTTTAAAGGGTAAAGTTGTTTGTTTCAATCCTAATAGTGAGAAAGAATATTTAATAAGTTTTATAGGAACTTTCCATATTCATTTAAGTACAATCATACAAATAGATACCTTTTTTACCACCTGTTTTCTTTTCTGTTTTTTCTGGAGAAGAGCCCAGTCGGTCTTCCAAAGATTTTGCATTCGCATCAACCAAAGCATCAAATTCATCTTTATCTTCTGTGAATTCCTTCTTTATCTAACATTTTACATTAAATTTATAAATTAAAATACTATATTATTGATTACATATGAATTAAATATTCTGTTAAATTTACCCTTGTCTTTTTAATTCCTTCCTTCTTATCTTTAGAAACAATTTCCGCTTTCTCAATTTTCTTCTTTAATTCCGTATCAATTACAGGAACTATTCGACGAATAGTATCCGATGAATAGAATTTTGTTGGTGGCTTCTTAATAGCTTTATTCATTTTTTGTTCTTCTTTCCGTTCCTTTTCCTCAAACTAATAAAATATAACATATAAAAATTAAATCAACTTAAAAATTCATTATTGTTTAAAAAATATAGTTACTTTGTTCAATTCAGTTAATAAACACTCTAAATCTTCTCTCCATAAAGAAATAGGTGTTCGACTTTGTAATCTCTTCAATTCTCCTAATTTATCATCTCTCTGGCGCAATAAATCTTCTTTTCTTTCTTTTGTCAAGCTCCACAAAGTCATTCCTAATAGATAATCGAAATTTTCACTTGCCAAAGCAACAGGTGCCACGGCTGCTTCATCTTCGGCGGTTTCACCAACCTCTTCCTAACAAAACATTACATTTAATCGTACATAAATGTGTAACTTTAAATAAAAGTAACTAACTAACTTCTAAATGCATAGCGTTTCTTTTTACAACTTACTTGATCTTCCTAACGTGGCATGATAGTTGAATTTTTATAAATTATATTTTCCAGGTATATTCCTATAGATATTATTAAAACAGAAAGTTTTATAGTACTTACCAAAACTTCTTCCCTGTTTTGTAATAATTTCCAAGCGACTACAGGATCAGACTCATATCCTCGTTTAATTAACTCAGCTATCATATCTTTTTTCTTTTTATTTTCTATTACAATAGTGCCATCGCATTTTTCTACAATAAATCGTGCTTGATTTGAAAGTTTAGATGCCTCCGCGTTCAGAATACCTTCCAAATAATCCTTCCTTTTATGGTACGTTTCTAATCTTACTTTATAAAAGCCTTTCATAATTTGAAGGACGCTATCATATTTTTTCAGACAGAGATTTTCGTCAAATGCGCACTAAATGAAAATACATGCATTACAAAGTTGAAATATCTCGATTTTTGCTTTACGCTAAAAATAAAATTTCTTGTTCTTTACCATGGATGTAATTGTCATCGTTGTTTGTAATTTGAATGCTTTGTGAAGACCATCCCTTTCTAATTCCACTAACTTATCACGGTTTAGAATGACCACAAAATGTACTGATGTATCTGTATTATATTCCTTGTAATCTCTAAAATAATATTTAAAATATAATAAACAAACGAATGTTTTACATTTATTTATTTTAGAAGTTTGTTTACTAATATTAATAAGAATATTTACGTAATAATGGCAGGCGTTTTATCAGTTCCATGTAACATTGGTTCTAAAACGGTTTCTTTGTATGTTTGAGTCCAATTTCCAACTGGAAGTTCAGTAATTTCAACTTTATCTGGTCCAATTACTGAAATTTCTCCATTAACGACATATCTATAATCTCCGCAACTTTCTATTACTCCTTTAAAGTTTTTGTAATATGGTATCTGAATAAAATATGAAAAAAGGTAAGAAATAGATACAGAAAGTAAATATAAATTTGATATTTTTAATAAATATTACCATTGGTTTTGGATCAGCACCATCCATCATTCTAAATAAGTTTTCAATAATTTCTCTAGGATTATAGTTGGGTATCTTTGTCATCCAACCAGTACCAATGCCATCAGCACCGTTTACCAACACCATTGGAATAGTTGGTATATAGTGAACAGGTTCAATTTTTTGATTATCATCGTACTCGTGTTTGAGTAAAGCATCATCATGTTTGTGAAATATGAATCTCGTTAACGGACTGTAATGATAGCAAGGAGAAGAAATACCTTATCAATCTTCATTAATATTACATTAATATTAATACATAGAAATTATTACGTGGAAAAACTTGTATATATACCTAAGCATTGTGAAAATATAACGTGGGCTCGCGGCATCTTTTCCTCCTGTCAATCTCGTACCAAACTGACCAATTGGCTGGAGTAAATTAATATTATTGCTTCCTACGAAATTTTGTGCAAGGTTAATAATTGTTGCCATAAGTGACATTTCACCATGGTGATATGCTGAATGTTCAGCTACAGAACCAGCTAATTGAGCAACTTTCACTTCACGTTTATCATTACGTTTTAAGCATGTGTACAAAACTTTTCTTTGTCCAGGTTTGAAACCATCAATCATATTAGGTATAGAACGTACATTATCATAATTACTGTATAAAACCAATTCAACATTAATAAAATCAGAGTATGACACAGTACGTGTATCTTTTTCATAAAGATAACGCTCTCCGAGTCCAATTTCTTTCCTCCTCTTTGTTTCATCCATATAATTTGTTAACCAATCCTTACGCTGCTCAATACATTTTTTACTAAAAGCCATAATAATATTCTGATCATCTTGATCTCCTTGATATTTAAATTGAATTCTATGTCTAGTCATGTTTTGAAAATACTCTTTTGCTTCCTTAGCAGTGGAAGTACCCAAACCTATATGAGAAAGGAATAACATTATAATATTGTTCAAAATAAATTTCACATTAAAAATTGTTGCAAAAAGTAAAAAATTAAAAACCTTTGTAGTACTTGATTCTGTAGGTATGAAAATTATTTGTTTCTGCCTTCCATTTTTCAAATTCAGGTAATGAAAAAAAACTTAATACTTCACTCCCTTTTGATGCTTTCACAATTGGTGTAATAAATTCTTCCACAAAGTTCAGTTTTAAAAGTGATGGCCAATTATGATGAATAAAATTGATTAACAACCCTTTAATGTGAGAACCATCCTATAAATAGACAAATAATATTTATTACAAAGCATAATGCATTTACTGATATATTAAATGCATTGAGTAATTAACCTGGTCCTGATCTGTCATTATCATTAACTTTCCATAACGTAATGTTTTTAAATCTTCTCGAGATTCATACTTTTTCTTATACTGAAGACCGAGGATTTTTATTAAATTATTAATTTCTGCATTTTCCAAAATTTGTTTATGTGTAGCTTCTCTTACATTTAAAATTTTACCTAAAATTACATTTTATATATTATTAATACAGATATACCAATTTTTAATACAGCTATTAACATGTTTAAATTTTATATGAATTTACCTCTTAGAGGGAATATACCATATTTGTCTCTACCTATTGAGGATAGTCCAGACACAGCCATAGTTTTAGCTGAATCTCCCTCAGTCAATATAAGTGTACATTCCAACGATTTACCAGTACCAGCATCATTAGCATCTTCCAATTTTGGTATTCCTAACACAAAATATTATGTTACATGAAATTAATTTATAATATATTAATTAAAATTATTCTTATACATAATGTTTAACATATTTGATTTATTATTCTTAATACTTATATACTGGTTACACAGTTTTAAAATTACCTTGTAATTTTCTTTGTTTCGATTTAGGTCCTAATTTTTGAAGTTGACTGTCAGCCTTAAACTTTGCCCAAGTTAAAACTGCTTCAACAATACCCATTTTTGTTACCTACAAATGAATTAGAATTGGAAATAAACTTATACAGAAATATTTAAAAATCTTGTATGTAGAAAATTAACTATTCTAAATTTTACCGCCGTAATAAATTTATCGCTAAATGAACATTTTGACCCGAAACTTTTAGCTTGTAATGTCATATTTTCCTTAGTTTGTGAATCAAATGTAGGATTGTTAATGAGACAATTAATAAACATCCATAAATGATTTTTTATTTGAAATGGTTTGATTGCTACTCCTGCTTTGTTCTTCTTTTTTAATGTTTCTGTTAATTGCTTCACTATTAATTCGGTAACATGATCTACATGACGTCCACCCTATTTTATAAAAAAAGTATTTCTGTAATTTTTTTTTTAGAGTACCGCATTAGTATAATTTTTACTAATTTTTTTCAAGTTTTACCTTTATAGTTGCAATACTGTTTACAAAAGACATTTGTTGAAATCCTTTATCAGATAAAGCAATAGCTACTTCCCAACGAGGTCCACAATTTTCATATACAATTTTTAAAGGATTACCGACATCGTCTTCTTTGCCTTTAATATATAAATCAACATAATCCTTAAAGTTTTTCACAGGAATTCTTGTTCCATTGAGATACACTTTAACACCTCTAGTAGAAGCTGCTATATCATAAGCCCTTCGAGACATAAGGGCAACTATGTCATTGTCTAGAGATTGCATTTTAAATTTTGATAAATCTGGTGAAAATATGACTTTCGTAAAATCTTCTCCAGCAAATTCTTTAATTCTGGGCTCACTTGCAAATCCCATATTATTGCTCCATGTCTATAAATATAATTATGTTACAAACCAAATAAAAGGATCTTTTTAAAACATATTTTTGTAATATAATTACTTGTTTCAAACATCGCTTATATTCCTTCGATGCCGTTTCCACTGTAAAACGGTGACTGAAAATATTACACAATTTGGCACCATAGCCATTTCTACCACCAGTTACTTTTTCCTCTTCGTCATCGTAATTGGATGATGTCAACAAATGTCCAAATATCATTGTCGGAACATACATATTTTCTTCTTTATGAATTACTACTGGAATACCCTTACCATTATTCCATACAGAAACAAGGTTATTTTCTCTACAAATTAAAATTATTTATTATTAATCTTATAACTATTGTATAGTATTATTTCCATTTTCTGCAGATTAAATAATACATAATAAGTATTTACACTGTACATACTGATCTATCTCAATTTTAATTGTATCCATTTTAGGATCTCTTTGTTTATTATCTGCAGCATTAACTAAAATCTCATCAAATATTTTGTATAGTCCAGGAACATATTTGATTTCCCTTTGCGTCATCACTTCTTTTTCTTTATCATAAACCCACATTAATTCTGTCACTGGTTCAACGGAACCAATATAAGTGTCCGGACGTAATAAAATATGCTCCAACTGAGACTTCTTTTGATATATGCCCTCAATCGTTTTCTTCTTTGCAGCATTATCACCGCCTCCATTTTCTACTGTAGTACTCATATTGTTATAGATCTTAGTCTTTATGAAACTATAACAGGTAAGAATATAATAATTCAACATAGAATGTATAAATATGCATGTATTGTAAATATAAACAAATTAAAATACAAATCCAAAGTTAAAGTTACCTTTGTATTGAATAAAATTATTGGTATTTATAATGGAAATATAAAAATGTGTATATATGATATTAAAAACAATACTATAGATTACATTGTCATATTATAAAATTCATTTTCTAAATTATGATTTATCATAACAATAAGTAAAATTAAAGACATCAACTTTAATATATTTTTCATGCTTACATATTTAATTAAAATTTGATAACTACAATTACATATATAAATACACCATTGCAATCTGTACTTA